GTCTGGGATTGACGTCGAAAGCTATGGGAGGGGCTTGGTTCCTCTGAGCAGGTTCCGCAGAATCGGCGAGGGCGAAAGCACTGGTGGCTTCGACAATTTCTTCGATGTATGCGACCGTTGTTCCTTTGTTCACATGTTTGTACTCATTGCTGAAATTCGTGAGCAAAACCGTTGCTTTGCCTCCCCGCAGCTCTGCAATTCCTCTTGCGACGCAAATATTTCGGGTGACCAACAGATGCTGACTGCCTTCAACGACGCCTTCCAAGTCAGGTGATTTAGGAGCGCCGACTGAAATAATGATGCTTGAGCGAGGCGGAATGGTGACTTGTTCTCCCAGCACATTCAAGGCATCCATGGTGTCCTGACGCCGTGCGCGGCGGTAGTGCTTCTTCTGTGGATAACGTTATCGACTTTGTTTTTAGGTTGATGACAGCACCATGGAGGCATAAGAAGTCCATGCCAAGGATGACATCTCTCGAGCAACGCTGTAGGACTACGAAGTCTGTAGGATAAATACGGCCGTTAATGGTGACTCTCGCTGTGCAGATTCCTGCAGGCGTTACGAGATGACCTCCGGCTGTGCGGATTTCAGGGCCTTTCCAAGCTGTCCTAACTTTCTCTAACTTCGCGGCGAACGACCCACTGATGACAGAATAGTCGGCTCCAGTATCGACGAGAGCAGTCACACTGTGGCCGTCGATAAGAACGTCGAGGTCGCTAGTTCGCCGTCTCGCATTACAGTTAGGGCGTGGCGTCGGGTCACGGCTGCGTCGGCTTGTTCCGCTGCTTCCATGCTGCGTCGTCAGGCCACCTTCGGTAAATGAGCTTTCGCCGTCAGGGCTTTGCCTGGCTGGCGTTGTGTTCGGAAAGCTCCGTCGCGGCGTCGTCGTCGTCGGAGGATCTTCGGTAGTTCGTCGCACAGCAACCGCACCTCCACCGGTTGCTGCCCTTAGTTTCCCGGATACGGGCTAGGAGACCGGCCCCGCGTTGGGCCAGAGTACTGCCGGTGGTGCGGTGACGTGCGGCGGCTGGGCGACGGCGAACGCGAAGGGCTTCGTGGTGTCCACCGAGTTCCTGTCAGGTAGTCGGCGATGTCACGTGGTCGTTCTCCTGGCTGTGGACGCGGTGCTTTGACGGCGAAGCCACGCACTCCCATCTGTCGGTACTGGCAACGGCGGTATGTGTGTCCGGCCTCGCCGCAGTGGTAGCAGAGCGGGCGATGGTCAGGGGTGCGCCAGACGTCAGTCTTCCTCGGTGCACTGCGCTGGGCCGCTGGCGAACGGTATGACGTCGGTGGGGGTGGTGGCGGCGGTGGCGTCTGTCGACGGAAGTGCGATGGGGCGGCGTTTTGGCGTGGACGGGGAGGAGCGTTGTGGCGCAGTGTAGTGGCGTAGCTCATAGCTTCCGGCTCGGGCAGCGGTGCGTGGGGAATTTGAAGCGATTGCCGAACTTCTTCTCGCACAATGTCGGCAATTGAATCCACTTGAGGCTGGGCCGAAGGCAACAGCTTGCGCAGCTCTTCCCGCACGATCGCTCGGATCGTTTCACGCAGGTCTCCGGAGTTACTGGCTTGAGCAGCAGCGCAGTCTGCAGTCAGGCGACGATTATACTGTCTGGTGCGCATGTCCAGGGTCTTTTCGATAGTGGTCGCTTCTGCTACAAATTCTTGGACGGTTATCGGTGGGTTTCTCATCAGTTCCGCGAAGAGCTCCTGTTTGACCCCTCGCATGAGAAAACGAACTTTTTTCTCCTCGGGCATGTCTGGATCAGCGTGACGGAATAGTCGGGTCATTTCTTCTGTGAAAATGGCGACATTTTCATTTGGCAGCTGAACCCGAGTCTCTAATAAAGCAGCGGCCCTCTCTTTGCGAGCGACGCTCGCGAACGTTTGAAGGAATGCGCCGCAGAAAACATCCCACGTTCGGAGCGTGGACTCCCGATTTTCAAGCCAAGTCCTTGCGGTGTCTTCCAAATAGAAGAACACACGACGCAGCTTTTCGTCATGGTCCCAGTGGTTGAGGGCGGCCACACGGTCGTATGTCTCCAGCCAGGACTCCGGGTCTTCGAACGATGACCCATGGAAAATTGGTGGTTCCCTGGGTTGATGCATGACCATCGTGGGCTGGGACGCTGCGGTTGTCATTGTCGCTGCAGTCGCGGTCATGGCCTTCGTCTTCCGCGCCTTGTCTGGTAGAAGCCCGTACTCTGGTGGTAGCCCTTGCTGTCGGCGGCTTGTTCGCTGCTCCTGGTTGGTGTCGGTGTCTTCTCCGCGACGTGGGCTGAGTTCACGGCTTGACGGGTGCGTCCGGTACATGAACGAAGCAGCACCTCCACCAGATGTCACGGGGTCGTGACGTGGCCGAAGACAGGAGACTTCGTGTTAGGATTTAACTGTTTATTTGGGCGAACCTGTGCCCGGTAAACTGAAAGTCCAATTACAGCAGCAGTCTCGCACAGATAGCAGTCTCGGACTGATAGCGGCGAACGGAGCGTCGGCCTTCGATCAACAACTCACAAGCGGCGAAGCGCGTCGGCATTTATACTCTTGCCGTCGAATGTTCTAGCGTTATCGCTGGCGGTGGCGTAGCTTCCAGAACAATCTGTACCGTTCGCAAAGTGGGCGTGATCTTATCGAAATGATCTACTACAGTCCGGAACCTTCTAGAAAACTGCAGGCGCGGTTCGCGCTGAGAATCGTGTGGTGTTTGGGATGATAACAAAAACTTGGCAAATGGAACGTGGCAATATATATATATATATATATATATATATATATATATATATATATATATATATATATATATATATATATATATATATATATATATATATATATATATATATATACAGAGATTAGAGCACAACCCCACAACACACGAGCCATTCAATGAACCTTACTGTTTGGCTGAACTACAAGCCTCACTTACTTGCTGCAATGAATCTACTCCAGGCCCGAACCGTGTGGCATATGAAATGTTGAAACATCTTCCCGCTGAAACTCAAAAAGCTCTGATCTCCCTGTACAATGTGATATGTTTTTCCGGCAAGCTACCCTCAGCCTGAAAGGAAGCTATCGTTATCCCAATTTTAAAACAAGGCAAGGACCTTTTCTCAGCTTCTAGCTACAGGCCAATAGTCTTAACCAGATGCCTATGCAAGGTCTTTGAGAAAATGATAAACAGCCGCCTGATGCACTTCCTTGAAACTAATGGCCTACTTGACCCATACCAGTGTAGGTTTCGAGATGCTCGTTCCACCACTGACCACCTTTCCTTCCACCACTGACCACGACGCACGAATTCATGACGCTCTTGTTCATAAGCAATTTTTTTCTGTGTTCATCGATATGGAATAGGCATATGACACTACATGGCGCTTTGGCGTATTGCGAGACCTGTCACATATAGGTGTGCGGAGTAGAATGCTGACAATCATCGAAAGCTACCTGTCCAACCGGACATTCTGTGTCCGAGTTGGCACTGTCTTATCTAGAATCTTTGTCCAAGAAACACGAGTGCCACAAGGAGGTGTATCCACAATGGTGTGAGAGATGTGGAGAACCACTTACGGTTCTCCACATCTCCAGTACAGTACAATGAGTTGTCCAGTACAATGAGTTTTCGTCCAGTACAATGAGTTGGATGCTCTAAGACAAGTCAAGCCAAGTCGAGATCCTTGACGATGTCGCGCACACCCACGCTGGGGGATTGGCCAATAAAAAAAAAGCTCTGAGAAAAAAACACTTTTTACTGCCCTACCGACAGCAGCTCCCACTACAGCCTGGGATGCTCATCGGTAGGGATCCGCTTTTTAAGCTGCAATCACTTTTAACGTTTTCAAAAGATGTTCGTAGCTTTCACCCCATATTTCGAGGTGATCCGTAGCACGACCTCTGCCGTGGTCTTGGCTACGGTGACTACATCTCCGCCATGATTTTATTCTCATGACATTTTGCCATCCACATTCACTGCACATATATCACGCCACTGTCATGATTTTATTACTTCTATGTTTTTACCAGCGTTAGCGCGCGAAGAATTTTAAAAACCGTTTACAGCCACGCATGATATCATTGTTCACGTCTCTATAACCCTACTGAAATGGCGCTATTGGGCCAGCAATTGGCCCTTGCGCCATAAAATGCCCCTCATCATCATCAATAAATAAATTGATAAATAAATAAATACATAAATAAAAGCTAGTGCGCTTGGCGTAAAGCAGTGAAGACAACGTATAAAAAAAGAAGGATCATAGCAAGCGAGAAACAGAGAAAAAAGAAATATGAAGAAAAATGTAGAAAGTAATAAATAAAGAGAGAGGAAGAAATAAATAGAAATAAAGATAGACAAAAAAAAAAGAAAAGGCAAATCGATATGATACTAAAGGTTGCTCAGCTCCGCAATTCCGTCAGGCCTGGCGTCCGCCGTCGCTGTCGAAGCTCCTTGCACTGGGCAAGCGCGCCGAGCAAAACAACAGGTGCACACTGCTGGCGCTGCGGAGCCGTACATCCCACCATGCACGGGGCGCAGCAGACGCTCTCCCTAGCACCTACCACCTTCATGAAAGCCAGCAGCGAGATCAGGCGCATAGCTGTTCGCATCCCATTTATAAGGGGTTCCGCTTATGGCTGTATTCGTACGGGGAAGAACTTCAAGTTTTTGAAGAAACGCTCCGTTCGCAAACCATACCACGCATCTTACTTCACGATGAAGTCGATAGTTTTAAACACAGTTTTCGGTTACATGAGTGACAGGTGTCTTTTCAATCAAAGCACCGCTAGTTATCATACAGCTAGTATTTGTCGACTTGCTGGCCATCAAATAGGAAGCTGCTGTAGAGCGAGTGAAAAACAAAACAAAAAAAACAATGTCAGCTGTTTCCGATCGACTGTCACCGCTGCTGCAAGAGTAGCGGCGGCGAGGCGTATCGATTCGCGCAGCAGGTCAGCCTGACCAGTTTAAATAGCTGTGTAAGTAGAGGAAGAGAGCCAGCACTGTTCAAAGTTCTACTCTATACTACTTTTACTTTAAAATGACGAGCAGCGGCGTGCTTAGAGTTCGCAGCATTTTCAGGCCCAAGTTGTTCAAAGGCAAAGTGGCCGTCGTCACGGGTGGAGCAACGGGAATCGGAAAAGCCGTCGCAGAGGAGCTACTTTACTTAGGTGCAGTGAAACTTATACTCTTCCCTAAGATTGATAGCATGCGGTTAAAGGAAAAATTAGTCACAGTTTCGCCAAAAGGGTGAAGCAATGAATGCGATAGCAACATATTCTAATGTTCTACGAAGCACTGCTAGCATTTTAGGAGCAATATTAATTGCAGTACACATACGGGCACGACGTTCGCGCGCTTCGTGCCCAGTGAACCACTGATATCCTATCAACATAGAAATAAGATCCATACGTCTACGTCTCTTAATAACATCCACTCGACATCCCCATAATGTGCCATCCATACAGTCTAGGAAGCTTAGGTATTGTTAACGTCGTATGCACTTCTCTCTTAGACAAAAACTAGACGTCGCAAATGATGTCGCATATACGTGCCCACAACATCAAACGCATCGCAGAACTTTCCGTCTTGATTGATTGATTTGTGGGGTTTAACGTCCCAAAACCACCATACGAATATGAGAAACGTCGTAGTGGAGGACTCCAGAAATTTCGACCACCTGGGGTTCTTTAACGTGCACCCGAATATGAGTACACGGGCCTACAACATTTCTGCCTCCATCGTAGATGAAGCCGCCACAGCCGGGATTTGATTCCGCGAACTGCGGGTCAGCAGCCGAGTACCTTAGCCACTAGAACACCGTGGCGGGGCAACTTTCCGTCTTCCAAACTGCTTTAGTTGACGTTTAGATTGATAAATATATACTGACACGTAAAATCTAGAAAGTCCTCGGACATAAATGAACATGTAACGTTAGAGCATGCGTAATGCATACACTTACATGCACGAGGAGATAAAGCGCGCGAACGACATAAAAAAAAAACATGCGTGGCGTTAGTGCTGCCGTACATGATAACGCTAAATCATGCATCCCGAAGGTGCTTTAAAGTGTGAAGCACTTTAGGAGTATGTGCTGTTGTCGCTTGGCGTAACGCAAGCAAAACCGCATAAAAAATAGAAAAGATGAAGCGAGAGAAAATTAAAGAGATGGAAAAGAAAAAAATAGGAAGAAAAATAGAAAGGGCAAAGGAAATAGATTTAAGAAATATAGGATAAATAAAGAGAAAGAAAACTGAAAAGAAAAAGAAAGAGAGGAGAAAGGGAAGCTTAAGTGAAACAAAGCAGACTTATTCCCAGCCCCGCACTTCTTTCAGGCTTCCAGCATGTATAGTTCTGTGTGCTGCAGACCTGCACTTCCACTGCAGTCTGGCTCTTAGCTGGTGTGCTATGCTTAAATAAAGCATCAACACCGTGAGGCTGACATTAAATTTGTCGTCTGATAGCAATCCAGCCAGCCTCACCCCGCTGCAGAGGTTTCATGGTTAAGGTACTCGGCTGCGGACCCGCAGGTCGTGGGTTCGAATATTCCGGCTGCGGTGGCTGCATTTGCAATGGAGGCGGAAACGCTGTAGGCCTCTCTGCCCAAATTTGGGTTCACGTTATTGGTCGAAATTTCTGGAGCCCTCCACTACGGCGTCTCTCATGTGGTAGTTTTGGGACGTTAAACCCCACATATGAATCGATTCGGCCAGCCTCACGTCTTTGATGTTTTCTACATAAAGCACAGCTGAGCGGCAATAAGCAAGACTGCCATGGGACCGCAGGTCTAACACACCAACTAATGCGGCAAGTGTGCGAAGTGCACGAAAAAAACCTTTTATTTAGTAAATGACAATGCCTATTTATATCTATTGAATGTCCATTCAGTGTGCATGTGCAACGTACCTGCAACATTACTCGGCTGAGTTTTTTATAGTTTAGGGTACATCTAATCTTCGTAATTTGGATTTCTGTATATATCTAAGAGACATTTCCAATGTCCACACACGGCCGCTTCTAAAACACTTTTGGCACCTTTTTTGTATTGTTTTTTTTTCGTGTAGAGAACGCAGTTCGTAGAAGCTCCCGCTTGCTTTGGGGACACAAGCCACGCACCGATTATTGCCGCGATAACCACATAAGCGCCCCCCCCCCCTTCTTAACTCACGAGTAAGCACGCGCGCAGACGACCCCTGCCGGAAAGGCAATTTTCGCTCCGCAAAGGGAGAAGGCTAGCGCATCCTTCCTTATGTATATACACATTCATATACGTGAATGTCGACAGCGGCGACGGCAAAAACCAGCCGAGACTGTTCATATATTTGCTATCGCAATGAAGAAAGACTATAGCTGTCGCTGTTTTATGCTTGGGGCGTTTGCTTTCAGAGAAAACGCAGCATAAAATGCCGCTTTTGCTTTTGCATTCAATTCGGATATTACAGCTGTCAACAGTGACGGTTTCGCTCTCAACTTCAGGATGTTCGGTGAACATTGCTTCGAGAAACGAGGACAACTTGAAGAACGCCGTCAAAGACTTTCAAGAAAGGTTATTGCCGGATAGGGAGAAAAATCGTGCGACGTACATGCCCTGCAATATCCGCAAAGAGGACCAGGTAAGTCGCCATCCGGAGATTCCCCTCTCCATAGTGTAGGGTAGCGAACCAGATGGTGCAATTTTGGTTTGCCTCTCTGCCTTTCTCTCATTATATACATATATCTCTCTATTTTCCCAAAAAAAGGATATAATTAAGAGTCTAACCAAAACCTAACAGTTGTTCCTCGATAAAGCAAAAATATATTTGCTTTAGCCACCAGGAAATCAATTTTTATCACTTTTTAAAAACACGTGGAGTGATATCAAATTTTTTTTATGGGACCGCAGAAAACATAGCTTTCCTACACCAGCACTGCCTAGTCAGTATGCTCGAATTCAAAACATAGACTAAATAAGTCCCCTTGTTTAAACACTAACATAGCGATATTCCACCAACTCCCTTGAGTTTCGCATATAGAAAATTCATAGGTACCGTCTCATTACTGCATTCACTATGGCTGTTCGAACAACAGAATTTAGAGATCTGTGTCCACGATGCTCGAGTTCCACTGCAAAAAGAATAGAAACAGTCCTTCCTGTGCAGTTTTCAAACATATAGCAGAAAGTTCAAAATGCTTGTTATTCATGTATGCTGCTTTGCATGGCTTGTGGAATGTAATCTTCTAACGTATGGCATTAATGGATGCTTGAACTACAGTTAAATGCAGTAGCTACAAAAGCATACTAAGCTAATAAGAAAAGCCTTACATGAGAATGTTTATTTTGTATAAAATGTTTGGTTGGGTTCTATTATTGTGTTTGGTCCATGAATTGTCATAATTACTGACGCCCACTACAGCTAAGCTAGCTACGCTAGCTCAGCAGCAGTTGCCTAAAGTCTGCCAAAGTGTCCAGCCACTGGCTCTGCATCTTTGAAGTGAACTGTTTTATTGCCGTTGTATCTCTTGCGTCATACGCCAGAGGGTAATGTTTAAACTCACTTCACCGGCACACAAACTATAGCATCGCGAGGCTCCTGTATGTTAAATACTGTTTGCCCTTCTTTCCTGTGTACTGAGAACACATTATTACACTGTCATTTAAAGCTGTAGTGCAACAGGTACTTCTGCAGTAAAATATTGCATGAACAACCTGCAAAATCTTGCGGATAAAATGGGGCCTTAAAACTCCCCCTGTTCGTACGACTGCTCTGTATGTATTTGTTGATTTTATTTTCACGAGAATCTGTTTAACAGCAAGCACATATACCGTGAGTTTCATGAGTCCATAACTGTACAGCACACCTCATCATTTGCGTGCCATATGTCGCTAATAGAAAATTGAAAAAAAGTACACCACTCATAAACTTTGTTAGGTAAACAATAAAAAGTGGTTTCGTGCTCTTCAATGCATCCTGCAAAACCCAATTACTACTTATGAGACTCAATTTTGAAATTGAAGTTGCAGATAATAAAAAATTTTCTTTTGGTCAGCTATTAAGGTGGAATTAATGGTAATGCTCTTGATTTCAGCAGTGTCACTCACTACGTTATCACAGTGGTACAGTCAACAAGTACTCCTTCACTTCCACCTGTCTTCACAAATGAGGGACATGGAGATGATGGCAATAGTTAAAAATGTGATATTCACACGATCATGTTTTCATTTCCTGTCATCCACTTTCTTGATATGTAACATATGACAGTTGAAAGGCAAGTATTCCTGGTTAAGGAACCACTATTCTAGAGTATAGGAACTGGCCTTCATAGGGAGTCCTTGATAGACTAGTCCCCAGCCTAAACGTATAAATAAGTTAGTTTTTGTTTGTTGCAAATTTTCTTATGACCAAAGGCAACCTACTTCGAAAATCCAATTTCCATCTCTAGACCCGCGCAGCAATCTTGTTGTCACACATAGCCTGTATCTGTTGCATCTATCAGTGATATATACAAGGCGCACTACGCTGCGCTCAATGTGCTTCTGAAAATTTAATTGTTTAAAAGGTTTTTTTTTTATGACACATCGTGCCACTCGTACATTTTTGTAAACAGCAGAGGGGAGCTGGGTGACGCACGACCCATTCCAACACCTGCGACATTTGCTGGGCAACACGACAGTTCCCGCTAATACAGATATTTCTGAATGACTTATTACTACAGCATATTCCGGCCAACACACAAGCATGGCTCGTAATAGCCATCACAGTTTGCTGTCCAAACATGTTTACACCCGATAGTGTTCAATGTCACCCTGGCATCAAAATTGACATTGTAGTGTGAAACTCAACGATGAAACTGCAGCCTCAACTTTCGCTAAAGTGTGTTCATGTACGCCCACAGTTAAACCTTTTAATAAGTTTTTCGTGGTGGGGCAAAAGAAAAAAACAAAGCAGTAGACAAGGAACATATATACTAAGCATGAGGCTGCGACTGAGGAAAAATGCAGTGAAATAATCAGACGCATCGCGTGTACCTCCAAGTCAGGAAAGGTTATTTATGAGCTTAAGGCTTGAAGAAATTCTCGATTAAAATCTGGTGTTTTTCGCAGCTCTGCCGGAACCAGAGCCATTTAAAGCCTTGCAATAGTCTTGTGGCAGTCCACATCGCCAAATTCATCAACGTATCAACTCAATACATCCAGAACAGTGACAGTTCACAATGTGTCAAAGAAGAATGTTGCAGAAACGTTGAAAAAGAGATTCTAGTATGCAGGCACCTGTAGATGCTTTGCCTAGATACCAGAAACATAGGCAGGAGAGAGCATAATTGAGGAACATAAAGAGGGATTGCTAATGTATACAGAATCAAAACAATATTGTAGCTGGTTAACAAGAACATCTTGAGTGGCTAGTTTATGCATTCAAGCAAATGATTGCAAACTTACTCAAAATTAGGAAAAGGCCAACATAAAAGAGAGAGGCCACACAATACACATATAGTGCACAGTATTCTTGTATTAGCCTTTCATGTCATCCTTTTCTTAATTCGTGCAGTTTGTAATTCTTTATGATATTGCGATAGTGTGAGCGTATTAGAGTGTTTCTACCTAGGACCCCTGTAAGTATCAGATCTGTCAGGTGCCGCTGGAATAAGCATATTTAATGTTAACATTGCTGATGAATTGGTGTTGAGGATGCCCCTGCGGCACATTATTTTCACAGGTGAAAACGCTTATTCAGCAGACACTGGACAAACACGGCAGCCTAGACTTCCTCGTCAACAACGGAGGCGGTCAGTTCCTGTCAGAAGCGAAGAGCATTTCACTCAAGGGCTGGAATGCAGTTATCAAGACTAACCTGACGGGAAAGTTTTTCATGTGCCAGGAAGGTTAGTTTCAACAGCTGTGGGCAAAACAAGCAGTATTGACGCGTGCAAGCCACTCTGGCAGCTGTCACTGCAAGCTGGCAGCGGTTGAGAAAGCTGCAATGCTGTAAATAGATAAAGTAGATGAACACTGACCTGAAAGCACGGACATCATAAAGTGAGATTCTGAGAATGTATTAAAGAAGAATACTTTCGCACGTCACACCTGCATGAACTGCAGCTATATTACAGATTAAGGTTGACCTGAAAGCAGAGAGGTTATAAAGTGAAATTTTATTAATTCATAACAAAAAAGACCTGCACTCTAATGATGCACAAAGAGGCAACAGCTGCGTGAACTGTGGTTTATACATGTCAGTTAGTGACAGGTCAGTTGGCGACCTTCAGACTGTGTACATGAACTGGCTGACCACATTTAGATGAGAGGTGAATGTGGAGACTGATGACATTCAAATTTTTAAAGAGCTAGGCAGTCAATGCTTGTACAGAGTCCTTTGTAATAATGTTTCATAGCCGCACTGTTGCTTTCAGGAAACAAGATCAATTGGTCACTTGCGCCAGCCAAACTAGAAGAAAAGTGTAGGACTCAGTAATTGAGGCTGGCTTGGCAAAGCAGAAGTTTCTTTCGGGCTTGAGTGTCAGTTTTAACGAAACTTCACTTCGATCATCAGCACTTCCCATCCTGGCACAACTGTACAAAGTCATCAAAACGTGCCTAGTTAATGCAAATACGACGCTTCTTATGTCATTTCCAGTGTTATGTCAGTGTTGCCTAAAACACCTGTATACTCAAAGCTCAATATAACAAAGTTGCATCTAACGCAAAAATATATTTGTTATAACCAGAATTCGTTATAAAGATATACTTCTAACACTATTTACTGCAAAATTATTTTTCATTTACTTAGTTATAACGGATACTTCATAATATCCAGGTTTGTTATATCAAGGTTTGAGTATATTATGTGTGCACAAATGCACGCTTACAGATTAGGCTTCTTTGCCTCACTTTATTTTTCTAAAAGTTATAAAGAGCATATTTAAAGGGAGTGGTTTGTCAGAGAGCATTTTTACCGCGATAGCATCAGAGAGCTTGTTTCGCAGAAGTTGCGGCGTCGGCGTCAGCGCCGTTGGTTGTGAGCAAAAAGTCATCATCTGCATGATTGAGAAGTCGAGAAAGACGCAAATAAAATAAATAATTTAAAATTGTGGGTTTGAGAAAGGACCAAACCCGGGTGGTTTACGTGCCAAGCGGATGTTCTACCACAGAACCATGCATCTGCTTGAGAATGGAGTGAAAATAACTTCCCCTTCTTGGAAATGCAGTGGAAGTAATGTATGCTTTACAAACACACGCATCCTATATGCATGCTTCAAAATACAACATGTAACATCGCAGTAACAATGCGTGGTACAAGCGTATACTGCGATCGGGCATCAGAACCTGCGATTATCCTGACTTCATGGCTTAAAACGGTCCATCCACTACAAAAGACACACATGTTACTGCGCCTTTTTCCTTAAAGCCACGTAGTGGGTGCTGTTGCGTAGACGACGGACCGATCCCGCCGAAGCCACCACTGTTGCGAAAGACGGGGACGCCAACACGGCCTCGAAGGCGCCACTGCTTTCAACTCCGCCGGGAAGGTCACCAGCCGTTTGGTAGCGTATGTTTCTCAGCTCGCGACTGCTTCTGCGCAGAGCTGATAAGACGAGCGGACGAGACGACGGTGAGTTAAACAAGGTTTATGTACAGCATATATACAGAGGCGTTACAATTTCGGCACTGGGGCCGACAGAGACTCGAAGAGCCGAGCTCTCCTCTCTAACACATAGGTCAGCCTTTCGCCTAAGACCGCTGACTCATACACATGTCGGCTCTCCGACATGGGGACTCCTCTCTCAGGACTGCCGATCGCGACGCGCCGCAGGGCTTCTTTTATTTACACCGGGTCCAACCAAAATGTCCAATCAGAAGCGCCGCTGGTCGTCAGGGCAGATTCTTCCAATGGGGTTGCCGCGCCATGCGTCAGACCACCAGACACGAGAACGCCGGCTCGCTGTCACGTGCGCCGCTGACTCAATGCACGTGGGCGAGAGAGAGGCGCCGCGCGTGTTCACGCCGTTGAGATGTTCGCGTCAGGCGGACTGCGGGCTGGCCTTGACCCAGATTGCCTTTTTCCGAGGCACGGACGTTTGACGGGGACTCGCTGGCATAACAGCACCCCCGCCGCCAGACAATGCACCGGAAAGACGAGCTGCTTCCACGGGGCTCGGATGTCAGGTGCGCTCGTTCGCCAGGTCCCTCCAGGTTCGCCTCCAAGGCCATGGGGAGAATACAGCTCCAGACTGTTCCGGGAACACATCCCAATTTTGACGACGGATCCCAGCTCCACTGGCTTGTCGCCACAACTTGCTGACCAGCTTCACTCGTCTCTTCTGACCATCTTCGGTTTCAGCACTTGTCGATGGTTCTGCAACTTGCCAAGAACGGATCGACAACAGACAACACACGACACACGCAAGTGCCCTCGGTCACCCGACAGAACACCAGACAAAGTATAGTACAACATATACCTATCTACGTGTTTATCGGAATTTTGTTCCCTCTACATCAAGAGGCACATGTGGGACAAAAGACCCTTCAAATGACAACTCAATTTTTTTTTCCCACGTACAACAACGTAACGGATTAGAATACCACAAATTTGGCCCCTTTAGATCACTCTGAACGAGAGCGCTCAGCCCAGGTCGTGATGAGGTCAAAATTTTGCCCCGAATCGCCAGCCAGAAACCGAAAGGTTGAGAAGGTACTAGCTAGAACGCACTGCTCAATGCACCTGCATTAGCGTTTAGCTTTCCCTTTTTTTTTTTTATAGCGAACGTCAAAGTTGCGCTGTGGAGCAACATGCTCCACCTCAGTAACCGGCCACTTTTAGGCGACGATACCTATGCGGCACCAAGAGCGGCTCACACTTTCGACGTTGTACAGGGGAACAACGATACGGCTTGCTACTGATTGACTCCTCACCGCTTAGCTCGATATCGTGTTCGATCACCGTCGTGTCTCCGGGACGGTCCGACAACACATACCCAAACTCGGAAACAATCTTTCTCAGGTCCTCTTTCTCAGGTCCTCCTTCACTTAAGCTAGGCTCTAGGTTTATCTGCTCCCGGATTACTTTCGATCCCCCTTCGATCACCTCACTAGAACTCAAATTTTCTGCTTCCTCTTCCTCTGAAGCCTTCAACAGCTGATTTACGACCGCTTGATGTTGAACATTGGGTTTCATCAAGTTGTAAATTTTGTTCTGCCGCCTTCCTACTTGCACCTCATAATTTGTATCGCAAGGCTTCGATAATACTTTGGCGGGCCCTTCCCAATCAACCTCAAGCTTGTTCCTTTTGGATGGCTGCAGCCGCATTACCTGATTATCAACTTCAAAAGCGCGCTTCTTCCCCGATTTCTCGTAGTGCTCCTTCGACCGCACTTTTGCCGCGTTTTTCTGGCTTTCCACTAGCGCTTCAATCGAGAAATCCTCACGCTGCTCTCGAATGAGCGTCTCTCGATCTAGGAGGATATATATACAAAAATTGCTGGAGTGGAGGGAGCGCTCTTCAAGTGAAGCCAGCGCCGCCATGTTGTGGTGGGCAGAAAGCTCGGCTCGGCTGGCTCGGTGGCGGCCAGCGCTGCCAGTTCACCTGCAGCGACGGTGGATTGCGGTTCGTGCGCCTGTCTTTCCTTGACAAGTGTGTCTCTGCAGTGCATTCGAATGCGTGCGGCTCGATTCAAGCGAGCATGGTACAATCCTGCGTAGCGTATGGGTGCACAAATCGCGCGATTCCTGCTTCCAAGATCACATTTCACAGGTGCGTACTGAAAGCACGTAGTGCTTACGCGGTCTAATACGGCTGACTCGTGTTTTTCATTGGTAGGCTTAAGGAATTAATATTTGGAAATTATTGGCAGGTTTCCAAAAGATGCTGAGACACGGAACCTATGGGAGCGAGCTGTGCGTCGTGAACACTGGAAACCGACAGATAAAGATCGCCTTTGCTCTGCGCACTTTGATCCGGCGTGTTTTGACCGGACCGGACAAACAACAAGGTTGAAAGCGGGAAGTGTGCCGACTTCGTTCGCTGCTTTTCCTGCCCACCTCCAGGCACCGGTAAGCATCGGAACTTCGCAGATATAGTGCTCTGACATCAAGGAGGTTGGAATGACGTAGACATATCTCTTCTGTCGTGTTTTGTCGACGTGACTGCATTGCTGCGTGTTTCCTCGCGAGCTTTTCGTCCCGTTCGCTCGTTTACAATATCGCTCAACACACGATTAGCGCATGATCATTGTCGAATGTTCCCGAACATGCTTTCGTGAATACATATATTCATGTTATGAGCAATAATTGAAGTATATATATCATTCTAAAAGTAGTTAATTTCCACTATGTGCTTATTTCAGGTGAAAAGGAAGCGGCCAGCACCAAAACCTCGAGGATGCAGTCCTGCTCAGCAGCAAGAGGCCTTAAATACTGAAGATCATGTCACTGTATCACCATCAAAGCAGTGGTACAAGACGAAGTTGCAGGAAACAGAAGACGAAAGATTGCACTTGAAGAAAAAAATTAAAACGTTGCAGCAGAGCAAACGAAGGCTGACACAAAAGAAAATCACCGCTGAAGAAATTATTAGAGGCATCGAAGAACAAAAGCTTTTGTCAGAAGAGGGCTCCAAGATGTTCGATGCAGCATTTTCTCCTGACATACAACAGCTGCTTCACCGGGCACGGACAGAAAGTGGAGGTAAATACCCTCCAGAGCTGCGAACGTTTGCACTAACTTTACATTTCTACTCACCAGCAGCCTACGAATTTGTGCGATCAAAGTTTAATGACGCCCTCCCTTCGCAGCGCACAATCAGAGAATGGTATAGGTCTGTTGATGGCCAACCAGGCTTTACAGGTGAAGCATTTTCTTTCTTGGAGAAGTTGGTTCAAGGTCGCT